GGCCTATCTCTCTTGAACACTGGCGCACTGCTCCCCCCTTCTTCCCCCCTTTCTACCCCCACCCCCTATGTGTCTGTCTGTCTCTCTCTCAATCACTCTTCCTCTTTTACTCTCACACACACTGGCATGCTCCTCTTCCTCCTGTGCCCACTGCGAGGATGACTGTTTGTGGACAGATATCTATGACACTGGCACAATGTGTTGGATAAATTGCGCCTGTATTGGTATTGATCCTTTTACCAAACAGAACGGACTTCATGTCTATAATTCAAGAAAAGGAAATTACCAAAACAGTTTTTTTTTAGATGTCCACCGCAGCATCCTAATGAGCTTCGTATCTAAACGAGTGAGAAATGTTTGTCATGAATTCTGTCAGTGTTATCCAATGACAGAGAGTATTCCATAGCCATTTTCACTTTTGAGCAGAAAGTGGATTCCAGATCAGCTAATGCATGATGGTGACTGTGTAATGATATCATTTATCTTCATCGAAGTGGTGACAGGCTTCTGGAGGTGATTCGCAGGCCTGGCTCAAAGAGACTGTCCACCAGAATAATTTGATGATGCTGTTAGACGCCAGATTACCAAAGTGTGCTCAGCTGTAATTTTGATGATGGTGGTATTCACGAGGCGTCTGCTTCCTTGAATGTCACCAGTGACGCTTTCTCAATGTGTCACTATGTGAAGAACAGAACATTTATCCAGCCTATCTTTAAGAAATGTTATGTGTATTTAATTATTTATAGCAAGCCACTATAGCACTTCTCACTTCTGATCAAACGTTAAAGAAAAATATAAAGGGTTTTGGGCCGGAGTAGACGGACACATGAGGAAGACAGAGGGAGGTAAATCCAGGGTTCACATCAAAGTCTATTTCTCACATCAGATTCTGGAAATGTGTTTGCACTGCCATGCCAGCTACAAATCCAGGCACATCAACTATCAGTCTGCAAATCCAAGTGTTGAAAGAACATCAAGACACCAGAGATTCATATGTTTGCCAAAGTTTTGTCTCCAGCTCGGCCCGCTGCGATCTTTCCCACTGTTGGAATTTGTGGACTGTGATATTGAAGTTCTCTGTGATTAATATGTATTTTGACATTGAAATCTTCTAGAGGTTCCGTGAGTGGGAGACAAAAATGTGCGTGACCATAAGCAAAGTTTCATTGGAATTTGTGAGGGTAAAGGACATGTAGAACATTGTAATGTTAGACCCTTTTTTTATGTGCTACGTATGACCACTTTTTCTGTGGTGCAGCCCCCTCCTCTTCACTTTCACCACTCTTGCATCAAGCCCTCCACCCCTCCCTTTGCCCACTTCATCCAAAAACCATGTGTGGCGTGTCATTTCAACTCCCTCCACGCTGAAGAAGGGCCCCTAACAAAACAAAACAATTATCTCTACCCTCGTTAAGACCTGGCTTGCATCCCCTCTCCCTCTTTTATTCCCCTCTTTCTCCTGCTGGACCCGGCCTCCACTCTTTCCCTTCCGTATAGCTGTCTCTGTGACAATAAGTTGAGCTGAGGGTCTCTTAAGTGCTTCTGGAGTGGAGCGTTTAGCTGATTTTAGGCTTCATGTTTCTTTAAAGGCCAAAGCAGGAGCAGAGGCGCACAGAACGGCTGTGGCTGGGAGAGAGTGAGGTGCCCATGAGAGAAACATTAAGAAAAAGACAGGAGAGTAAAGCAGTGCAATGGATGGTTGTACTTGTAGTGGTACTAGCCGAGGTGGGCGGCGGTGAAGGGGAATGGATGGTTTGGCAGCGGGCGGTCTAGCAGGTTTCAGCGTGCCAGCTCTTAATTACTTTAATTGGAGTCATTAGCTAAGTGAGCATGAGAGACATCACCTGCATGGCATGCAGGACCGCACCTGCCACAGCGACATTGCGATCATCATCACACTGCAGCAGAGGGTTGACTGACAGCTCAACACTCAACCATAATGCTGCCACACTGAGGCTTCAATCAGAACGAGTACAGTCAGACAAACAACGCAAACAAACACACAACTAAATATTCAAATTTGTTATCTGCAAGTAGGTGTTCTCGATAAAAGGTCTGTCTTTCTCATCTACTTGACTTACAGAAGCAAATTATATATCAACCAAAATAATATATACTTTATACATTACAGTTAAATAGATTTTTTTTAAATTAGGTTTATTGATTACATTCTTATATATTTAGCGAAATACCACTCTTTTAGTCTTTGCTGGATATAGAACAATAGAGTTAATTACCATATATTAGAAATAACTGAACCAGAACATTTAATCAAACATCATGTATTATTTCTCAAAGCATATTCAAAAAGGTAAAAAGGTATAATACTTATAGTAAAAAATTAAAAATAATATATATATATATATTTGAGTTTTTCATTTATTTTTAAGCAGTTTTTAAAGATACTCTAAAACTTTTTAGCTTTCTTTAATCAGTTAATCAGTCCAATATGATATTATTGAAAATGATATCAAGTGGGCAACTTCGAAAGCTTAAAATATAAACTTCCTTTTAAAAAGATTTGCATGGTATTTTTTCAATAAAAAAAGAATTCATAATCGCCAGTCTGAACAGAAAGAATGAATGCCGAAAGCTCAATATAAGGACCTGACTATTGTGTTAAGAAAGCCTTAAGACATACAACATTTTTATCCTAAACATTAGTTGCGTAACTTTGAGCAGGGTTAGTAGTATACCACATAAACCACTGTAGGATGTGTATCCAATGACAAACTTTGATGTTGTCCACATCCGCAGGCTACACCTTCCTCTGTCCTGCTCACACCCAGCACACAGCCTGGCAGGCGGGCTGGCAGCCAGGCAGAAGGCTGGCAGGCTGAGCCCGGGGCCCCATCTCCTGCAGAGCCAACTCTGTCCAGCTGGTCCAGACTAACACCACAGCGAGTGATCATGTAACAGCGTAACAGCGTATCAGTGGGGCGGGAGATGTTAGCTGTGGTCAAGACACCATCACACCTAGGGCCCACACCTACAGCACTAAACCTGCACGAGGGGGATTTAGGTGAGGGAACTCTGTCTGGTTTATGACTTAACAGGCCTATCACCATCCCAGTTTCGCTCCTGAGAGTGCATGATGGACCCCTGTTCGCTCTCATTTGCTGATGCCAGATCTATGAGTCTGATCCGTAGTCCAGTCTGGTTCGATCTAACATGGTGGAGAAGCACAAAATAGAACAGCCCCACACAGCCGGGGAAACCTGATGGACCTTTCTCTCCCTGATCTATTCAGCAAGTTAGCTTAGCACCATTTGGTATACGCACAGCTTTTACATACAGAAGGACAACCAGAAAAACACAAGATGTATGGCATCAAAGTGTAACCTGGGAATATTTGTTTTCAAGCCAATTACCAAATCCCAAAATAACCACACTTCACGGTTAATTAACTGTATCCGCAGTCTAGAGAAAAACATTTCAAAGTAAAACTTTGATGTAAACGTGCAGGTCTCAAATTCTATAATCTATTCACTTTCACCTTGATACACCTTGATTGAACTGATATAGTTTGAGCCCCCCCACATCACACACACCTCCCAACCATTTCCATGTCTGACAGTTAAAAGGCCTACACACAGAGAGAAAGAGCAGGCAGCTCATTGTGCGTTTTAAAGCGCTAACTAGGCCACTTAGCACCCCGTGACGCTGATCTGATCCCCGAGGTGCTGAACTTGGCAGCGGGCCCTCCTCCTTTCGCTCCTTCCTTTCCTCTCGCCATGGGAACCAGGCCATCCTTAATGACGCAGGAGTGCTCCGCCGGATCCCACAATGCAAAGGGGCTGACATCTGTCTTGCTAAGTGGTGCACTCTCTTGTGCACCTTGTTTGTTCAATCAACAACCCCCCCCCCCTTCTGCTTCCCCTCCCATCACTATGCCCATTTTCTTATTTATCTCCTTTGTTTTTTGTTGTGTTTTTTCTTTAATACAAATTGACAAAAGATTTAAACATGAGTGGAACAGAGTTCGGAAAGAATAGATAGCGAGATCATGATTCAGGACAGAGCACCGACACACAAGTGTATATTAGCCTATTATAAATATTAAGTGCGGTATTGTATAATGGCCGAAATGTATACAAATTCACAACTCAGACTTCACAACCTTAAATACTATGAGGAATGAGAGTTGATGAAGCTGAATTTCATCATCGTCAAGATGGATGTATGAGCCTCACAACCTCCACCATGCATATTTCGATAAAGACAAGTGCCTGATTAAAAGTGGCCCCTAATTCTTCATAGTTAAGACCTGGGCAAATATTTGTCCCATCAATCTTGGAAAATATAGCCATCAACCCAAGATGTTAATCACATGCTAATGGAATCCAAGGGACTCAATGCACCCCCGTAGTGCAATGAACGCTTTCACTTTTTCAGAAAGCCCACGTGAATGCAAATGGCCATCTAAACAGTCATTTTGACAACATGCCAAGGCATGGTAAAGAGCCCCCTTCTTTATGCTCCTCTGGGAATGTATGTAGGGATGTGTGGGATGAGTTCACTTTACCAGGCCCAGGTGCCAGGATATAAATGAATAATAGGTTTTATGGGCCCTAACTGAAAAAAAGCACATACACACATAATCACACATGCCTACTCGCTGAAGTGCATCTGTGGTGAATGATGTTCAAATTCCCACAACTACGCTGAAAAGAGATTGGGCATGAGAATAGGTGGTTCCTATACATAATTCAGGGGGGCCATGCTGAAACAATTATGTTTGCTTACTGCTAAGTACCCGTGCTCAATAGCTCGTTTGCTCTCTAGTTTCAGATGTAAGTGCTATGTGCTAAAAGTCGGTGGAACAAGGCTTTTTAATAAAATATAGGAGCTGATACTTGAGCACTTGAATACAAGAGTGAGTGGAAAAAAAACAACAAAAGCTCTTCATGTTTTTACTCGAGCTTTGCATGCAAACTAAATAGCACTTGGAAATGTAACTAGTGTTGGTGAAAAGCTAATTAGCATTGCCAGGCAAAGGGAATGTGGACAAATAGGACATTTTAATGACAATATTATACAGATCACAATATTTCAGTTTAGATTAATCTAAACACGGTTTGAACAGTAACACAAGTCCAGTGTGGACAGCTCCATCTGTTGCAACAGAAAATTGCATGACCAAAATATAGGTCACTTTGTCATCTATCAGTGGTGGAATAAACACCAGAATATTTGTATCTGAATAACACATTCAGACTCATTAACAAACACATACACATATGTAAATAATCATTACAACTGTCAACATTTATCCCATATATTAGAAAGAATAGTGTCCATGTCTTAGCAGTGATTGGATGGAGAAAAAGGTGTCAATCCAAATGAGAATCTTTACTTTCCCCTCTATCCCCTGATTTTAACAGCAGCATTGCAGTTACAGATGTGCGAGAGCTGAAGCTTCAGCACTTTTTTCCTCTCGACCCGTCTCACACTTGCACTCCTCCACCACCATCACCTGCTTCAGCCGGACCTGGGCTCCACAGCGCAGGGGCACAGCCACATTATGAACTTTGGACGGGGAGCAGCGGGAGCAGGGGGCCCGGTGGTGGAGGGCCCCTGTCGCAGTTCCCAGCCCGGAAAACTCCCCAACGGATGGGACGAACAGCGAGCTGCACTGGCCGAAACACAGCCTGTTGTGCACCGTCACCGTGTCGCATCCGTCTGCCGTCACACGCTGGGAGGATGACAGAGAACGGTAAGATTAGGCAATATTGTCAGAGTTAATTTACCTCTGAGGTTGTAAAAATCAACAATATTTGTTTATGTAGCTCCACACCATTACAGCTAATCCTCCACCAGAGCAATAATTAGCTTTATGAGTAAACAGACTCATTGCCACTGAAAAATAAACACTTCATAACAAAGCTATATTCTATTCAACTGTGTGATAATGTTCTTTATCTGGAACTGACACTGGCACTGACATCTATTAGATAGATAAAGGAAATAAAATCCTGGTGTAAGACATTATATAAAAACCTCTTGTATTGTATTTACTTGCACTATTGTATCTGTTTTATTGTGTTGCACTGTTGGAGGAGCCTGTGACCTAAGAATGTCATCGACATAACAACACTGTAGCAGTACGAATGACAATAAAAGCCTTGAAATTTTACCTGAGTAAAAGGCACTGCAGTGCATGTCTGTTTGGTGTCCTTCAGGTTGACAGGCAGAGTTATCTTGTCTCCTTTATGGACGGCTCTCTGCCACATCTGCAGGCCTTGTCTCTTCTTCAGATCCATCTGAGTGTGGCCTTTAGGTTGCAGGAGGTGTAACGGACTCATTGAGGTCTTGGAAGCTGGGGCCAGCCCTGGACGCCCGTGAGACAGGAAAGCAGGGAAGGAGAGCCTGGAGTTGAGGGAAGGGACTCTTCTGGATGTGAGCCCCGGTCTCAGGAACCCTGACTGGGCCAGGGTACGAGGGTCCAGCTGCACAACCCTCACTATTCCCCGGACAGGTTCAATCGGTCCGCTGCCAGATGATTCAAATTCGACTCTTGACCCTTTAATAATGTTGTCAAAAGCATTGTGAGGGAATGTAAGAGCTACAGCTGTCCAGCTTGACAAAAAGACAAGGCTAATAGAAAAAGCCATTTTTTTACGGAAAAATAGATGGATTGCAAAATAAAAATGTTGCAATTTGTTTAAAAAAAACGAGTTACAGAAAAGTTACGAAAAATGAAGCTTAAAATGATTTGTCTGTGGTTTGGTTCAAGGTTCCAAATGGTAACCTTGCAGTCAGTGCTTTGGTCAGTGGGACGGAGGGGGTCTTTATATAGCTAGCTGCCAGTTCTCACCTGGGTTTTAATGCAAAGAAGGTGTCGCAATTCCCACACCAGGTCAGACATCACACCAAGCTTAAAACTCCAGGTCGTGGATGGTTGCCAGACTGAGGGGATTTCAGTTTCAAGGTGAGCGTTAAAAAAAACATGGTGATAAAAATAAGTTTGATCCTTGAAGTTCAAAATAACCAGATAAGGTGGATATACTTACTTTCTGGGTATTTTTTTTAAATGTAGTTCATTAGACCACTTTTATTTCGTTTTCAAATTTCTGCATTGGGGCTGCGCTACAGGAGGCATGAACAAAACTGAATCAAAAGATTATTTCATTTTATAAATGTGAAACGTATAACGTGCACAAAACATGCGCAGAGGGAAATTTAAATACCAAACTTACAGCCAAGGAGTGCTTTTCTTTTCAACAACCGACCATACATTTGAGCATAATTGATATGGGAGATAAACCTTTTACTAAACTGTTTTAGTCCAGGCCCCATAGCTCCAGGAAGACTGCAGCAGTTAAAATGCTGTCTAGTTAACAATAAAAGCTCCTCTTATTCAGCAGGTGTTCCCGTTACCTTTGGCTGTAAAGCAATAATGAGTTTATGTTCTCTGTGTAAACAAGCCGTCTCCTGTCCATTTATTCCCACAAGCTTCTCCTCAGCCTCTCCGTTGACATCCCATCATTACACCATTAGACTTCAGTGTGCTCGGTCACCCGTGGCCTGATCACACACTGGCTGCTGAGGGCCGGCTGGCTGACAATGTTATGACAGAAAGGCTGTTTGACTTTCTCATACAGACCTTGGCCTTAAGAGGCACTTTTTCTTAATTGCCTCTTCCCCCCGTCTGTTTCCCATCCACTTAACATTATGGTCAGTTAAGATGTAAGAATGGGAAAGGTAAATGTCACTAACTGCCTTTAATCTGAAGACTTTCTCACCTACACTCCCAATATGTGAGGCTGGTTTCAGTATTTGTGTAGAGGAATCACTTCCTCTAGCTGCAGAATAAATACTATCCACAAGAGGGCAGAGTTTACAAATAATTATCTCACTTTCACAGACACCACACTGTTCTCAATGGACTATGGATGACACTTAAAGAGGAACATGTTATGGTTTTGTTCCTCACACACACTGACCGTTACAGGTTTTAAACAGAATTATAATGTTGACTCGTTTATTTCAAACTGCAAATTCTTAGTGATATAAATGGAAAAACCAATGACTTTGCTTAATCTGCCGCTGCTTCACAACAACAGTTTTATGACACAGCTGCTGAGGCCTTCAAAATGCTGATGAACATTGTGTGAGTGGGGAAACTGAGTTTAAAGGTGAGGGGTTGAGTTGTGTATTTTTTTATAAACAGATCAAATAAACCTCTGACTCTGAGAACTATATATAGACCTGATTTTACTACTGCAATAGCCAAAAAATTATTCTAATACAAGCATGCATGGTCTTATACTGTATAAACAATACGGGGGAAAAACTCCTCAGGGAACTATCAAGATTGAACTAGAAAGACGTTGTATTTTTGTTTACTCGGGCCTAGAGGCTGCAGATATTTTAAATGTTAAAACACTGTTGAGCAAGTTAGATTTCTTTAAATTAGCTTTGTTTTGTTCGCCCACTAGAATCTATAAACATCCCTCATGATGTTTTATCTGTTGCAGTAAATATTAAAGTGTATTATTAAAAAGGGTTCAAAGTGAAAAGATTATAATGTACATAGCAATTGCGACCGGTACAGCAATGAAAACAAAGTATCGTTAACAGATAAAAGAAGAATTAAATACAATGAAAACTATGGTGAATACATAAGAAAATGTTATGTTGGGGATAGTTTCATTATAATGTTTTCGATTAGATTGGTAAGCAACAGAGTATTATAGAGAACCTACAAAACAAGTGACAGGGTTAGAGCTGAGCCAGTATATGTTACCTTAAATATTTTTAGTAAACACCCTGTCAAATGACGCCTCTATACGACCCTTTTTATACAAGGTCTAAACCTGAGAGGGGAAAGACATTTCTGTAAATTATTCAGAATATAATCCTTTGGATGTGAAGTTGATTCACATCTTAACTTGACTGCATTTAATGATTCAAGTTCACCTTTACAAGAGTGTCCGCAGACAACCAGACCTTAACACCGCCAAGCCCTGAGAAACAGACTCACCTGTGTCATTTAACTACTGTTCCAACTGTTTTATGAAGACAGTAAAAGAGACAATGTTTCCAGATCATGAGGTAGGTCATCAGCACCAGCATGTGACGGGAAACCTGCTTCAGCAGTCAGCACACATTAAACCTCACTAACTAGACACCACACACACACACACACACACACACACACACACACACACACACACACACACACACACACACACACACACACACACACACACACACACACACACACACACACACACACACACACACACACACACACACACACACACACACACACACACACACACACACACACACACACACACACACACACACACACACACACACACACACACACACACACACACACACACACACACACACACACACACACACACACACACACACACACACACACACACACACACACACACACACACACACACACACACACACACACACACACACACACACACACGTAATTGACCCTGTCCGGTGCAAACTGTCCTGTGATATATCAGGAGCAATTAACCTGTTGAAATGTCATTTACTTACACTGCATAAAGCAAATTAAAGCAGTGCTAACCAGAAGGGTAGACCATATGGAACACACTCACCTATTCATTCCCCCGTGTAATTCAATAGCAGCTCATGTATACTGTTTATATCAACACACAGGCTGTTGAGAGATTTAATGTTAATAGCTGAAAAATGAATATGTTTCCAATTGGAATGATGTGAAATACAGAGCCTTGTGCCTCACAGAGTCTATTAGTGCCATACAATAACATTCCTCCTTCTAATACTAAACATGTACAGATAACATGTCTGTAGTTCATTAATCTGTGAAACAGGCTATCATTCTTGGCAATAGTGTGACCTTTAATTGACTAAGTCATTGTTTTTATTTTCTGCATTTCTGTCTTTAAACAGGCATTAACATATTCACATAGTTACATGGCAACAGAAACAAGCTGTAAACGAAACACGTACAGCCTATAAAGTTGGTTGTTAGGACCACCACCAGCTCACACACTCAGTAACAAAAGGGTTGTGAATGTTACTAAAGTCTTATTTAAGCAGTGGCGAGCCGTCGGGCCCTATAGGCCCTCTGTGAGGGCCTAAGATATTCTAAAAAATTATATTTGAAAACATTAAAAAAAAAACTTTTTTTTTTATATGTTGTTGTTGTTATTTTTCATTAGTTTTACCAAAATAACTTGATTTAATTGTATTTAAAATAATATTTCCAAATAAATAAATCCTTCGAATCTGCCTGTTCAGTGTCTGTTGGAATGTGAAGGGTTAAATGCCGTCTCTGCGAGTTATGTGAAGACGGGAGAGCTTGTTGGTCCCTCTCTACATTCACAGAGGGCCAGCTATAGTAACTCAATGAGAGAGTAATGTCAAATGACAGTACAATTGACCAATCATATCTTCCCTCTAAATGGGCGGGCTTTATTTTCGCGGACTTTATGACAAGTCCCGCCCGCTGTGAGGTCTATGCAAGTGGTGCAGTGACGCGTCCTATAACCCGGAAGTAAGCTTCGCTCGGATTCCCTCGACAGAAAGCAATGGGATTTCTCCATAGTTTTGGAAAATAGCTCGAAATAAGGTCTGTGGAAAACGAACCTGTTAGATAAAGGCACGTTTTGTTCAGCCGGATAATATCCACATGTCTATCCTACTTTTATTATTTTTGAATCATAAATCTAAACGATAGATTTATGATCGATAGATTTATAATTAGCATAAATTCGTTCATGATGGCTCACTTCAGTGATAGTGATGACATCGTTGCGAAATTATTAACCGAGTCATTTTCAAGATTGAGTTACAATGATAAACTGGAGTGGCAAAGGATCAGCTGCATGACCCGCCATCAAGTGCTTCATCCAAAAGGACAGGAGGATGGACTTTGTGTTTAAGTGATTTGATCATCAAAGGTGGGCCGCCGTGCCGACTTAATTCATTTTCAATTGTTACTTGGCTGTAAGTAAGGGAGCCTGTCATGATAGGTGTTTATATAAATGGTGTTGTTTTGTGTGGTAGAGGGTCGCTGTCATTGATGCGTTTTGTACCGCGGGCCACTGTTTTGATATTCCGCTGAAGTATACGCTGTGACGTAATATCTCTTCTTTTTTTCGAGGGAAGGGGGGGTCAGAGGGCCTAGGTATAAAAGTCACGGCTCGCCACTGTATTTAAGACTATATTTCACAACATGAATCAACATCTGCAAAGTAACTAAAGGTCCTAAATTAATGTAGCAAAGTCAAAGTACACGAGTTACCTCTGAACTGTAGTGGGGTAGAAGTACAAAATAGCACAAAATGGAAATACTCCATTAGCCTACTAGAGTAAATATACTTAGTTACTTTACACCACTGTGTTCAGTGTACTGTAATAGTTTGTTTATTTATGTAACGTTACATCTAATTACATCGCGAAGCCAACCCTGTAATGTCTTTCGATGAGCCAGTCATACAACACAAATATAATTACAGAAAAAGCCTTGTTAAGATAATAACACAATTCAGAACTTCCACAAAAAGACACAATCACAACATCCCACGGCGGGCCAAACAAATTCGGGTGTTCTTACCTGCAGCTACACAAGGCAGTGGCAGTAGGCTTTGAGTTGAACAGGTGGATTGATCCACTTCTCCCAGATGTTTCCAATTTTTGCAGCCATCTTTTATAACAGTGAACTCTGCGTGCATTTCGGGGAAGTGTCTTTCTTTACTATATTTGATCAATTTTATTGATATAGGAA